AGATCCAGGCTGCAGTGACTGTGATCATGCCATTGCACTGCAGCCTGGCAACCTGGGTGACAGAGGGAGACCCTATCTCAAGAAAAAAAAAAAAGAAAGAAAAAGATAAAAGAACACCCGTCATTGGATTTAGGGCCCACCCTAATCCAGTACAACCTGATCTTAATTTAATTGCACCTTCCAAGACCCTGTTTTCAAAGAAAATCGCCTGCTGAGTTCCAAGTTGATATAGCTTCAGGGGGCAGGGGGCCACTGTTTTACTCACTACAGTAGGGATACTTTTTTAGGGTAAGTTAGCCAGCCCTGGATTTTATCTGCTAAGGCTAACGTCCCAATCATCATAATAGTGGCTATAATGTATGTACAAAGCACCTAACTCTGTGCTAGGCCCTGTTCCAAGCATTTCTATATATTACCTCGTTTCGTCTTCAAAATAACTTCATCAGTTGGCACATGAATCCCATTTTGCAGATGAGAAAACTGAGGGCCACAGAGTGATATGCCGAAGGTCACCAAGCATGTAAAGATTCCCCAGTAGCGATCAGCACTGACCACAGGCCCTGGCATTCATGTCTTACTGTCTGGAGCCAGGCTAGGGCAGGAAGGGCTGTCACTTGTCCCCACAGCCCACGGAGCCAGATGCCATCTTGACGAAGGGAACAAGAATGAATGCCTGGGTGCAGAGCCACGGGGAGGGGGCATTGCCACCCGGTGGGTGCCCGGCCGCCCTCCCAGGCATAGCTCCTGTCGCTGTTGCCCGGGCCTGGCGTAGGCAGCCCGCAAGTAAACAGTGTCTGAAACCTATTCTCATTAGGCTAATTTACGAATAAATTACCATATTCAATGGCCTTATTTTTACTGCTCGTTAACAGGCCCGTGATAGGATGATAATTACGGGATTTTAAGTGGCTAATGGCAGCTGGGGCGTCAAAAGCAGTTTTTACGAATCTGTTTATGGCAGCGAAGGTGACAGGAGGGGAGGGACATTGAAATGTTGAAATCACACTTTGAGAAAAAAAGCTTTAATTGTTGAGTATTTATTAGAGAGGAGGGAAGGCTGTAATTTAAAAAATGAAACTCTGAAAAACAAAGAAAATTAATTCGTCTTCCCCCCTGTGCTGTGACCTTCAGGGAGTGGGTGAGGGGTGGGCAGGATCCCAGGAGAAGGGTGCCAAGTTCAGGCATGAGTCTGGGCGGGTCCCCTCTGGTTTCTGCGGCCCCTGCAGGGAAGACATCTGGAGGCCTGTGATCTCGGCTCAGATGCCCCTCTGCGATCCAGGAGGGATCCCTGAGAGAGGTAAGAACCCAGCAACCTGAACGCAGTGACCGTGTGGGCATTTGATTCATTGTTTCTTCCTGATCATCATGATCAGATCTCATCCATTCCAGCTCCCCCGCTAATATTTTACACGCATTATTTCATCCGACTCTTGCAAAAATGTGGAGAGCTAGTCATTATTCCTAACATATACTGAGTGCTCATATATGCTTTCTGTGTATTAATTCACTTAAACAGATAACCTCGTGGGATCGGTCACTATTGTTATCCCCAGTTACCGAGGAGAAAACCGGAGGCACAGAGAGGTTAAGTAAGCTGCACACAGTCACACAGCGAGGGCCCGGGTTGGCATCCGTTTGGCCCTGCTTCTTTTGTCACCTCCCTCTCAGGGAATCCCTGGCAAGCTGGTGGGGTGGGCTTAGGGCCCCAGGCGACAGAAGAGAGAGCAGAAAGCCCAAAGAGGTTAAACCGTGTGCCTGGAATCACAGAGGCTGAGTTCAAAGGTCAGCCACTCTGAGCCCAAACCGGCCGCTGACTTGCCTTGAAATGGGACTCACGAGAGTGGAGATGAGGCGCAGGCATCTTTGAAAAGGCCACTGGACATTTTGGTGGGGTGATTTAGGGGCCATTGCCCCGCCCTGTGAGCTCTGTGGGGGCCTCTCCTGGGTCCGGCCTTCTCTTCCCCACCTGCCCGGCCTCCTCCCTGCCGTCCTTGGCTCCTCATCCCCCGGCCACTGGGCCGATCCATCTCGCTCCTCCGCTTTAGTATGCAGCCCTCGGAACACAAACACGCAGCAGCCTGACAGTGGGAATAAATATCGTGGCGATGTTGATTAGCATTTGATCCCAGCTGGGTCTCTGGGAGCTGAAGTACTGGAATGTCTTGGCAGTTTTTTAATGCTGAATAATTTGATTAGATCAGTGACTGAGCCTGCTGCTCCTGGTGAGATAAACCCTCCCCACATTACAGGGGAGAGAGCGGGTGGACGGAGGGCGCGCATCTGAGCCCCCAGACTTCCTGCTCCTCCACCAGCCCTCCCAGCGTTGTCTGCGCGGCCTCCCCCTCCCCACCTCGGCCCCCTTCCTCTCTTCTTCTCTCTTCCCTGCACCCTCATTTCTCTCTTTCTTTCTCTTTCCTCTTCCTTCCTCCTCCGGTATTCTTCCTCTTTTCCTTCTCTCCTGGGGATATTCGTCTCATTTCTTTTCCTCCATCTTTTCTTCCTTTTTTCCTGTATGTTTCATCTTTTTTTCTTTCCTCCCTTCTTCTTTTCTCCTTCTAAATTCTCAATTCTCTTTTTCCCCTTCACCTCTTCCTCTTTCTCTTTCTTCTTCCTCTCCATCTTCCTCCTTGCCTCTCCCTCCTTTCGCCTCTCTCTCCCATTCTCCATTTCTCTCCCCTCTCCCCATCTCTCCCTTCTCTCCCTGTCTCTTCTTTTCTCTCCCCACTCTCTTCCTTTCTCTCCTCACTCTCTTCCTTTCTCTCCTTTGCTATCCCTCTTCCTCTTGCCCCCTCCCTCTTCCCCTCTCCTTCATCTCTCCCCACTCCTCCCCTCCTCACTCCCATACCCACCTCCTCCTTTCATGAAGCCTTAAATACATCATTTAATCAACTCCACAATTTCAATTTCACACAGTTGTCAGCTCGAATGTCTGACGAGGTGGTGAAGACCCCACAGACTGTGGGCAGAGGTCACAGGGCCATCAGGCCTCCCTGCTTCCTCAGACCAGACCAGCTCTCAGCCCCGGCCCCCTCCCACACCACCCACCCTTCTGCAGCCAGCCGAGGAGGGATTTCGGAGGGTTCTGCTTTTCCCGTGGCAACTGTCAATCAGTCATGTAGATGTTTCTCTTGTCATCAGTGTGAAATTACCAGAGTGGCCTCATTATCTGCTTACTCCAAATTTGGAGGCAATATTTCTGTTTGAAGGATAATAATCTCCATTTAAAACAAAAATAACATCTTCTCAGGTAGAGGAGAAGAAGAGGAAAGGAAAGAAGACAGTTTGGAACAACCCAAGAAAAAAATGAATTATCCCGGCGTTTTGATTCACACACACACACAAACACACACACACACACACACACGCAAAGTCCTTTACTGCCCTAACCTAACACAGAGTCCATGTTTCCTGAAAACTGTTTTAAATTTTTTCCAGCTGGTGTGGGGAGTGGGCTGGGAGGAAGAGGAAGGGCCATGTGACTTTAACGTATCTATCCTTTCTTAGATTCCTGTCCCCTTAATCGTAACAACATTACTAAAGGCATTGCTACTATAACAAAAAAGTCATCAGAACAAATGGACAGGAAGGAGTGGTGTAGGCTTAGGTTCTTATGCAGATTCAATTAGCAGCACTTCCCCAAGGCTGGGTGTGGGGGTGTGTGTAGGAACCCCATTAGTGGTGGGGAATGCTGTCTGTTCTCGCCAGTGCCATTGCAAAGCCGGCTGACCTCCCCGTCTGTCCACCCCTGTCATCTTATCACCGCAGAGTCAGACCCCAGCTTTATTTATTTTTGTCAAATGGATCCAGAAATGCCGGGGGGAGGCACTTCCCAATCATTGAGCGCTGGCTTTGTCGGGAAAAGCCACACTCGGGGCTCCAAGTGTCCTCCAAGCTGCCATGTGTGGGTAGATTCTGGCTGAGCTGACTGTGTTAGGGGGATGGCAGGGGGAAGCATTGAAATCAATCCTGGTTTTGTCACTCGTGCGACCTTAAATAAACCTGAGCCTCTCAGAGCCTAGGCCTCCTCATCTGCAAAACAGTGGCAATAAGAAAACCTGCCGCACCCTCCTCATGGGGACCATACTAAGGGCAAAATGTGACAAAGCTGGCGAGCCCCTTTATGCCCCTCCCACCGTGTCCTGATTACACAATTATTGTGGCTCTGGTCATTTACTGACCACACAGAGACCTGTGCCCATCTTACTGCTGCATGAGCTTGCTTCCACCTCTTCATGTCTCTGAGCCTCAGTTTTCCCATCAGCAAAATGGGACTATTTGTGCCTCCTGGTAGGGTGCTGGTGAGTCCTGAATCAAATGTGCATAGCGCCTCTCACTCCTGACTCCTCACTTCCATCCCCTTTTCCGACTTTTACCTACAGGCATGGAAGCCTTTCTTTGGGATAGCCTGTGCCAGTTTAGCTTCCCGACTAGATTTCTTGCTAAAGATAAAGCCGGCCTCGCATCTGCAAGCTGCAGTGTGGTCTCTGAAACGGGTGTTATTGAAACTTGAATGTGTGGTCCTGGTTCCCAGCATAATGCTAGGCACATAGTGGGAAACCCAATGAATGAATGGATGGATGAGTGGATGGATGAGTGGATGGATGGGTGGATGGATGGGTGGGTGGGTAGGTGGATGGATGGATGGATGGATGGATGAATGAATGAAAGTTCCTGGGCAGGCTGAGTGTGCAATGCTTGCTGTGTGAATGAATGAATGGATGGATGAGCGGATGAATGGGTGGATGGATGGGTGGATGGATGGGTGGGTGGGTGGATGGATGGATGGATGGATGGATGGGTGGGTGGATGGATGGATGGATGGATGGATGGGTGGATGGGTGGGTGGGTGGATGGATGGATGGATGGATGGATGGATGGATGGATGAGTGAATGAAAGTTCCTGGACAGGCTGAGTGTGCAATGCTTGCTGTGTGAATGAATGAATGAATGAATGAGAACTCTGCTATCTGCAAGCCAGTGTTTCCTCTCGTTTTCTGCAGGCCCCAGCCCTGCTTTCTCCACTACGGCATTCTGAAGTTCCAGAACACAGGAGCCAACAAGAAACTGGGAATAAAGGGGTTTGATCTGCACAGCACAAACACCTCTTGCAAAAAGAGGAATATAAAAAAATGCCGATTCCTTCTATGGGAGAAAAGAAGACGTCGAGACATGTTAAATGGTTAGGAAGAAGGTGGCTGCTTGTTTCCCTTCTTCCTTGTGCAGGCTGAAGGCGGGGTGAGGGGAGAGGTTCATTATTTTTCGGCGCTCTGAAGGCAGGTGAACAGGGAGAAGCAAGCTGCAGCCTGCCATTGCGTTCAGTGCCTTTGAAACACATAGAGCTCTCAAGGCAAGCGAAGGGTTTGATGCCATTTAAAAAAGACAGACTCCCACACCTCTCAGATCCATATGTTTCCATTCAAGATCTCGTTTCCCTCCGAGGCTGGTGCTACCGCGGGCTTTGCAGTCGGGCCCGGCTGTTCTGCTGACGCTCTGAGGACCCGTGGCTCACAGAGGAGGCAGACGGCCTGAGCAACTGCACAGTGGGTTCGAGGTGCCAACGGCAGGCTCTGGGCCGAGCTGCAGCGGCAAAGTGGTGCCCGGCGCCGTGTGGTGCCTGCGCCTGTGTGTGATCAGGTGGTTGCTGTCTGGGGGAAGGTAAGAAGGTGAAAAATAAAAGCAAGCAAATCAATAAAATAGTGTATGTATATGGACCAGAGCTCAGGGCTACAACTGTGTGTCCTTTCTCTCTGTAACGGGACCAGAGTGCTGACAGGTTTTGTTTGCTTTCCCAAAGTGACTTTCTTGTGTTATAAACAGGTGTGTCTTTGACAAAGAAGGTTTTGTGGTCAACTGAGTTTGGGAAATACTAGGTTCATCTAACCTCTCTTCTTCCCTCTGTCCCTCCCTTCCTCCCTCCTTTCCTCTCACCCATCCACTGTCCATTTATCTATCCATTCATCCTTCCATCTTGTTTTTTTCATTTCCTTTATTCCCTTTTTCTTTCTCTCTCTTTTCCTTTCTTCCTTTCCCCTTCCTTTCCTCTCTTCCCCTCTTTCCCACTTTTCTTCTTCCTCCTTCCCTCTCTCCTATCCATCCAACCATTATCCATCCATCCAACCATTATCCATCCATCCATCCATCCATCCATCCATCCATCCATCCATGGTAAGGCAGTTGAGATCCTGCCTTTGCAGACTTCAGAGTGAGTGGACAGAGACAGTAAATAAGAAAAAAGTAAAGACATTAGCGTTTCAATTGGTAAGTGCTATGAAGGAAACAAGAGTAACAAAAAGAGAGTGATTGGGTAAAGGGTGATGAGTACAGATAGAGGCAAGAACTGGCAGGGTGGGGTCAGGTTTTAGGCAGAGGGAACAGCAAGTGCAAGAACCCTGAGATGAGAATGAGATGGATTTGTTAAAAAAATAGAAGGTGTCCAGGGCAGCCACGGAGGCAGGGGCACGTGGGAAAACCAGAGCTATGTGGGACACTATGGAAAGCTACTAGATATTTTAAGCCAAGGAATAGCGTGGTCTGATCCAGCCTTTATAGCTACCCCAGCAGGACTCCAGTGCCCGGCATTGAGTCAAAGCTAAACCATAATCATGGCAATAAATTGGACTGCTTCTATCTGCCAGGGCCAAGCTAAGCCACAGGCAGACCTAGCTTTCATCACCAGAGTCAGATTTTCTCCTCCAGACATGGCTTGAGGTCTCCTTATTCAACCCTGGTCAGCAATGGTGGGAGTTTTTCATTTCCTTTATTCTCTTTTTCTTTCTCCCTTTTTTCCTTTGTTCCTTTCTCCTTCCTTTCCTCTCTTCCTTTCTTTCCCACTTTTCTCCTCCCTCTTTCCCTCTTTCCTATCCATCCAACCATTATCCATCCATCCATCCATCCACCCACCCACCCATCCATGGTAAGGCAGTTGAGATCCTGCCTTTGCAGACTTCAGAGTGAGTGAGCAGAGACAGTAAATAAGAAAAAAGTAAAGACATTAGTGTTTCAGTTGGTAAGTGCTATGAAGGAAACAAGAGTGACAAAAAGAGAGTTTTTCCGACTCGTCTGGAAGCAAACTCATATTCACCAGCATGGTGTTCAATTACCAAATTGGAAACAAGTAAAATAAAAAGGCAAGTTATTTATCGTCCTTGCAAAGGTACATGAATGAAAGAAGAAGTCCAATTGGTAGATGGATGCTTAGGGTGTCCTGCAGTCTTTGCATGGGAGACCCATGATTTACTTCTGGGGCCACAATGAAAACCACACAGAAACATGTTCCCAAGCAACGTTAGGGAGAAACACAGGAAAAGGACTTTGAAGCTATTCTTCCTCTGCCTGCATTCAAACCCACTGAAAACCTGGTCATGCTGGAGATCATGATGACTTAAACGATTATTGCCACAGTAATAAAAAAACCGACATGTACTGAGCTGCCTACTATGTGGCAGACCCTGGGCCAAGAGTTTCACTCTCGTAATCCCATTATGTTGCTTCTTTGATTTTCCTGAATTCAAACCTGAGAAACTGAGGCTCAGCAAGGTGTGAAAACCTGTTACAGAATGCACAGATCTCAATAGCCAACTCTGAATTCAAACCCAGCTTGTCCAGATTCCAAGCTCACCTCCCTCTTCCTGACAAGACCCCATTTTCGACACCTTCAAAGATTTGGACTTGTCTCTATAAATATATGTACAGTTGTTCAGAACATCTGGCAGCCCGTCATAAAACAAAATCTCTCTTGCTGAAGCTGTTGCTGTTGTTGTTGTTGTAAATATCGGTTACTGACCCACTAGATTCTGCGGGATCTGGTGTGATTTTAGCTGTGTTCGGTCTCTGCTTGTCACCCGGGAAGTTTACGCGAGATTTGATCAGAATTTCACAAAACCAGGCTGAGCCTGTGTGGAGCTGTCAGATGAAATAATTTGTCAGTGATGATTGTGTGAATTCGTAAATATTTATGAATTCACAAGTTATAAATGTGCAGCTTTCGGGAGGGTGGAATTTGATGCTCACCAAGTCACAGATTACAATGAATATTTACAGAAACCCCAATCTGCTAATATTAGTTCTTTGTGCTTATGAAAAAGCTTTCCTTGGGATTGTAACCCTTTCAGGCTAAAAGTATCTGCAGGAAAAGAAGTATAGCTAAAGGAATAAGTTTCCCCCCAATAAAAAAAAATAACGCATTCATGATCCATTACATTTGTATAACGTTTATGATTCTCACAGTATTCACATATGCGTTATGCCTCTTGCCAGTCATTCTAAAGCTGTTTGTTGAATCGGTTTTGAACTGAATTGGATTGAAAAAGCTCAAGACAGCAGGTGGTCAAAAAGACCATTTTTTTTACTTCTTGTTCAGTGACCTGCCTGTTCAGAGACCTTGTGCAAGTCTCAGCATCCCTCAAAATCTGTTTCTACAAAAGACAGCGTTTCCCAAAGTTACCCGTGGACATACTACCCTCGTAACACTTCCCGTTAGACACAGTTGCCAGGAAGGCACAGAGCCTGAGGCCTGCTCTCTCTTTGTTAAAAAATATTAGTAAGCATTGGAAAAGTGTCAAAGGCAGACTAACACCAAGTTGAGACTTTCTTCTTGATGAAATCAGAAGAAAATGAAAGAGAAGTCTAAAGGGAATGAGTTCCTCTTTCACAAGAGGCCAAGTGGCATAGTGAGGTCGTTAGAAGCGGAGACCCTGGGCCCAGCTTGCAGCTCACTAGCTTTGTGTGCCGGACCAAGGGTTTAACTCTGTATGCCTCGGTTAATACATCCGTGAAATGGGGATACTAATAGTACCTATTTTAAAGGGTCACTCTGATCAGGATGACATGAGCTAAGTCTAGAAAGCACCGAGAGCTGGCAGATGACAAATGTTTTGTGATTGTTAAATACAGAATAAGGGACGAAATGCACCTGAAGTTTCAAGCCATTATGAGGATTCAAGGAGAACCAGTGAGGTGTGAGCCCTGGGTGCCTAATCTCGCTCACTCAGTGGGTGGCCCTAGCCAGTCTTTTAGCTCATCTGTAGGTTCAGAGGGAAGGGAGGTGCTAGATGGCCTCAGAGAGCCCTTGTCTCGTAGGGTCCACTCAGCAGCCTGGGGCCAGGCACTGGAGGTGACGCTCATGTGTTCATAGTCCACAGCAGGACTATTTTTAGGAAACTGCCTCGAATGGAACTCACACTGGGACACCAGCTTGCAGCCTCCTCACTCCTGATTTTCTAACACCCCCATCCCATCTGTCAACCCCAGTCCAATCTTCGGCCCTCAGCAGGGCCACAATTGGACACTAAAGGCTCTCCCATGCCCCGTAATGAAACCATCCTCCAAGAGAGCTGCAGTTTTGTAAAGGGAGACACCCACTGTCGGAGGTATTTTCCAACCTGGAATTTTCCTACATTGCAGATTGGTGTGGTTCTGCTTCTTCTGAACAGCTGCAGGACCTCAGTTTTCCCATCCGCAAAATGGGAGCAAACGATTATTATCTACATCTAACATTGTTATCCTATATCTAAAACTGAGGCTGGTTTGTCTTCCACAGGCACTAGTACAAATGAACAGCCACCTTCTCCTGTGCGTTCAGCCCGTGCAAACAACAGGCACTTTCATCACCCCGTTGACACAGGCCTCTATGGGGCCCCCTCAGCTCAGAGCTGGACACATCCATAGAAGCTCTACCAAAAGGCATCCATTAGGGAGAAAAGGGATATCACCCTTCTAAGCTAAAATCCTCTTCCATGTGCAGAGAGTGGGGAGTTGAGGGGGAAATGGGAACGGGCTTAAATCAATCATCTTCTGCCTGCTAAAACAGAAAGAATGATTGTAATTTCTTAAATTGTCTCTGAAACACTAAATATACCTACTTTTCTTAGAGTTCAACATGTCTTCATTTCGTAAGTATTACTGCCCTCATGGTGCAGATGGAGAAACTGAGGCTGAGTCCTGTAGCTGTTAGGAAGAGGTAAAGCCATAAACATCTTCAGGACTCTAGTGGCAGAAGCTTTCCCGTGGTGTGCACTCCACACAGACACTTCCCCACCTCACCTTCTAATGATAAAAGCAAATACGCATGAGGCCAGGCGATTTTCCAATCCGTTTACATGTACTGTCTTATTCTATCTTCATGACTGGTAGGAGGTGAGCACCTTTATCACCATCAGCTGACACACGTGACAGTTGAGGTTCAGAGAGGTTAAGTAAGTGGCCCAGGGACACACAGCTAGAAAGTAGAGAAGGCAAGATTATACCTTAGCAGGCTGACGCTTGTCCCCAGATCCCCAAGGCAACACTACCAATGAATGTACCTGGGCTTGTGAGTCCTTAAGGGTTGGGGCCACACTGCAATCATGCCCACTTCCAACACCCAGTTTGGCACAGCGCATGCTTCACAAATATTTGTCAAGTGAATTTTTAAAAAAATGCACCAGTCTTTCTGATCGTTAAATATACCAACTTATAAACAGATATGTCAAGGAGCAATTATTCGCATTACTCAAGATGTCTTCATTTTATAAAAAGGATTTACATCACGGTTTCTTTAAATAGCAAGTCCCCCCTAGTGCATTTAAAAATACGATTCAATTTATAGCTGGGAATTACACACACGCTTTCGGAAGCCCTTACTTGAATAAAGGGAGCCGGCACGAGTGTCATTCATTCATCTGGCTTTTCAGCAGGCAATTATTGAGCACCTACTATGTACCATGTATTCTGTAAGGAGCTGGGGAATCAGCAGTAAACATCACGGCTCCAGCCTTCAAGGAGCACCCAGTCTGGTATGATAGGGAGATAACTGACGGATGAGTTTTCCAACTTGGAAATGAATTAATGCCTTAAGAAAATAAAGAAAGGAGCCCACTGCCTTCAATCTGGGCATGCTGGGTAAGGGAGATGTCCCTGAAGAAGGGCAGCGTGAGCTGGGCCTTGTGAGATGAGTAGCAGTTCACCAGTTAGAAACTG